CCATCCCCACAGTGACAAAGGAAGATCCCCCATAGAAACCCCATCACCAGAGCACCCTATGGTAGACTTTGATCAACACCCCAAACCTGCCTTGGTTGAAATCATACCTAGGCATTTCACTACAGCTTGAGGCTTCATTTAGGAGCTCTTTGGGCCCCCACAAAGCTTCCACAAGCATCCAATCGAGGCTTCCCTTCTTGGACCAAGGTATTGAATCTAATACCTAAATCAAGCTTCATTTAATTCTCCATGAGCATAAAGTTGATTTAAGTTTTGATTAACTGTATGGATGTGTATGCCTCATCAATACAAGTCGATAGGAACAAACGTCACTTGATTTGGTTAAGTATTGAGAGAGATATTAAGGTTTGAAGTTGGACGGTTCTCGGGCTAGAGGCTTTGGGACGATGAACAGATGTCGTCCATTTCCGCGTGTATCAGACGGACGATCGTGATGAAGTCGGACGAGAAGATGGAGTGGAACAGCAGGACACGTGGCGACTGAGTTAGAAGGTGGCACCAAACCAGAAGACGTCGCATGGAACTTCAGATCTTCCTAGGTTGAGGTGGCGTCAGGTCACTTAAGTAAAAAAATAGGATTTTCTTATTTAAATAAACAGCCAAAACTTCAAAAATTCATAACTTGGTGTAGAAAAAACACAAAAATAAAATAAAAATACCCTCTTACTCAGTGAACAGAGGAAAACAATGTGGAAATATTTTCATATTCATTTTATGCATATTTTATTTTTAATTAATTAATTAGTTAAATGGTGTTTTTCTTATTTTGATTCTCCATGTACATAGAAATTTTAGCATGGCATAGAACCATGAGGCATTTGATGTCTTTGTTGTTAGGCATCTCCCCTGATTTTTTCAAGGTCAGGGGGTATCTCTAACTAGAGATATCTAATTTTCAAGTTAATGACACTTGTTTTGGTATAAAAATTATAATAACTAAAATAATCATCATAAAAATGCAAAACTTATTTTGATAGGTTCACTGTGGTCAGAGGATCCTAGGAAAAATATAAACTTGATTCAACTCATTAAAAATAACATTAATTGTCACTAACCCTAAAAATGAAAAAAAATTAATTTGGAATAATTATAAATTTAGATGACATAAAAAATTATTTCACACTGTAATTTAATGTTAGGGTAGCTCCTCATAAAAATTTCAAGTCAATTGGAGTTAATTTGATCACTCAAATGGATTAATTAAGAGAAATCACTTTTTTTACATTAAAATAATTCTAATAATTAAAATAAAACTAAAAAAATCATCAAATTGGTTTTGGGAGCTCCTTATGACTGGAGGAACCTATGAAAAATAGAATTTTAATTAAAATAAATTGTTCATTTTAAGCTATTTTTAAGCCTTTAAATAATTAAAAATTAATTAAAAATTATTTAAAAATCATAAAAATTGCAAAATCATAAAAACATACTAAAATATCACATTTGGCTTCTTGATTACTTGGGACCAATTAAAATAAATTTCCTAATGTTCTAAGTCAAGATATTAATTTTAAAAGCTTAAAAATTCCAATAATTAAAATACAAACCACAAAAATATGAAATTTGTTTCTTTGGATTTCCTGGACTTAGAGAGATTTAATAAAAATATAAAGTTCAATTCATCTTTTAAATAATATTTTATATTTAATTAATACGCAAAACAAAAGATTAATTTTAATAATTAAATTAAACCTCTAAAAATCATGAAAATTGCTATAAGTGATTCTCTGATCTATGTGAACCTCCAATAATTTTCTTAAGGGTATAAGTTTTATTTTGATTGAGTTATTAAATTCTCATTGAAAATCCTTATTTTTGCATTAAAAATAATTATAAAATTAAATAAATTCAGAAAAATTATATTTTTCTCCTCTGGTGTTTTAATTAACCCATGAGTGAGGTAACATAAAATTTTCAAGTCATTTGAGTCTAATTTAATGATTTATAGGGTATTAAGGTCATAGGGGCAAAAGGGTAATTTTGGAATTTAAGGCTTAATTAATATTTAGGCTTAACCAAAGGGCAAAATAAAGGATCTTAATTGATATGTTTTGATGATTGGAATATATAAGGGGTAAGTGGTAGAAACCAATTCCATCTTGGTCTTATAAAAGATAAATTTGTAATTTCTTAAAATTAATAAAATTTGGAAGAGTATTTAAATAAGGAGATATTAAGGTGAGGGGTTTGATTTTGGAAGATGATAACTTAATCATTTGAAGCCCCTAATTGTTAGTTTTAAAATTATTTATAACTCATGATAAGGATTAAGAATATAAATATTAAAAATCATTTTTCTTAAATTACAAATCTACACATTAAATCTTAAGGGCTTAGTAGTGAACTAGGCTTAATCAAAATTTTGTCTAATAAGGTATAAAAAGTAACCTATAATTAATTTAAAGCCTTTCAAAACACTACAATTCCATTCTTTAAAAATCAAATTAATTAAATTCTTTAATTAAGTTGAGTTGCCTCCAAGGGTCTTTACCTATATAACTCATAAATGAGACATCAAATGCTAATTACCCTACTTAAGGGATGATCAAAACATCAAATTCACTAAGCATAAGGGTATTAACTGGATGCACTATATAGTAAACATAATAAGGCCAAAATGAACTCTAGATAATTCCAGGGACTATGAACTCGAGACTTCTTCATGATCCTTTGGAAATCTTGAAGAACATCGGGACTTATTATGATTTGCTTAATAGAATCATCTTCAAAATTTGGAACCACCAAAATATGACATAGGATCTGGTAGACACACCTCAAACTTGTTTTTTCTACTTTTTTTATAAGCATGTTTTAATTCCTGCAAAAATTATATATATGTGCCTTGCAAGTACTAAACTTTCAGGTGGAGGAACGAGAAGACTCGACAGGTACGCTTTTACAGTTTACAATGCATTCTTTTTCTGTAGTTTCCTTACTACTCCTTTTGTTTCTTGCTTACAAACTTGCATGTTAAACAACGATGTCACCCTGCATGTCAAAATTGAAACCTTTAGGATAGCCACAAAACTGAAACTGAAATCAAAACAAAAATCAATCAAGATAAAATTCACCCCCACTCTCGGAAGAGGTGACCTACAGTTGCTAACGAGATTTCCCACAGTCTAAATGACTCATTGAGTTAAGTTTAGTAAATTCATTTAGACTAAGTGAATTCGATAGACAATAGTGGTACCGGAACGAGGGAACCGTAGGATCCTAACCGGCGTCGCTCTAATCAACTTTAATATGCCTCATAATATTTAAATGACCATAACTTTAGGGACATCTGATTTAACATCATAACTTGACACATTAGAAAACCTAAACATACCACGACGAGGAGCTTGGAGCTAGGATTGTGGGCAGCACAGCCATCTTCAACAGCAAAACATGTCTTCACCAGCTAAACCATTCTTTAGAATTAAACAATAAATCCATAGGAATTCGAGGTTATTTTCTTATGCAAACATAAATCCTCAATTTATCTTTAGGCCTTTATATAGCTCTGTTATGCAATTTAAGCCCTAACCCGTCTTAGGATTCCGAGATTGTCGTTTACTACAACATAAATCCTCACATCTTCCAGGCTATTTGTGTGATCATTTCACACAAATGTAAGTCCTAACTAATAAAATTGACAGAATGAAACATTGAAATATTTCTCCTTAAAACCGAAGCTAAACAATAGGATAGACTGGGAAGTCACCGAGGTTCTCCTTCTGATCTGTGACATCCCTTAGTTCTTCCTCCGTTCTTCCTCCTTGGGATTTACGACAAATGTTTTCAAGTTTGAGTCATTCCTCTTCACACCTCTTTGTCTGATCTCGTTGAAAAGTCATAATCCTTTGACCTCTTTGAAGATAATATTCTCTGATTTTTACCGAGAGTTTTCTTAGGTGACTTCGGTTATCTAGTATGTAATTAATTATAGGGGTTTACCCTTATAGGAAGTTTTTCCGAACTCAACTTAATATAAACCCTATTTAATTATTCGTATTAAATAGGGGAATTTGTCGATTAACATAAAAATGGTTTTACAGACTTAAACGGATGTCATGCAATCTTTAGTTTATTTAATAGAGTCTTCATCAGTAAGTAATGTGTGTATCCCCCAAGATAGGTGCATTATTTATGGTATTATGCTCATTTATTTAAACTACTGGGGATACAGGATCGGTCCGGTCTTGCATTTTCCAAAATCCAAAGTACTATTTTTTTTCCAAATTATATATATATATATATATATATATAATTAAATTAAAACGGGTATCAGGATATCCATTCTAGCAGCCGACAACTTGACAACCCCTTAACCAAAATTGTGTCGAGGGAGAGAGAGAGGACCAACCTTCTCAAAAGTCTTTCTAAAAATAATTCAAATTTTTAAGAGATTTGCTTTCAGGATAAAAGTCTTACTGACGAATCAACAAAATGAAAATAATCAACTTCACCATAAGCATTCCTAAGAATCCCACCACAAGAACCAAGACATCCCTACCTTTACAACATTATGTAATATTCAATTTAAATTGCCCTGATGATGCATGAACTAAAATGATATGACATGATTAATCTTTTTTGTCATGATAGGAGCATTTAAATGATTAAAAAAACTTATTTTCCGAGTATATGATCTTATTTTATTTCAATAATCAGTATATTGTAGACTATTTTCTTTCTACCGAATCCTCTAAGAAAAAATCCTTTTAAAAATCCGGGCTTAATTATTTTACTATGTAGTCCTGTAGTAAACAATTCATAAACATAATGGCAAGCTACAAGCTTCACTCCAAGTATTGAAGCTAAAATATAAATTAAAATCTACAATTTTCTACTATATTTTGCAGTTTATTTTAATCCTATCTCATGTTCCAAATCTAAATGAATAAATCACGCTAACAATCTTTCTATATATTACTAACAATTACACTATTAAATCGCAGCTAAACCAGTTATAAAGAAGCATCAAAAGCTAATGGTTATCATCATCAGTCTATTAAGGGAATATAGCTATAATAGTTACAGTGATTAAAACGACTATACAATAACATAAATTGTTTCAAAAGAAAATATGAACACTGCTAGTCATTTGATAAAACATGCTATAAGCTTATCATCAGTCTTTTAATGAGTACTTCCTCCCCTTGAATGCCTCGAATTTGGGCTCTTCTTTCTTCGAAGCATCTTCCTTGGGCACCTAAAATGAGAAGCAATTCATTAGTCTGAAAATCTATGGTAAAATCTAAGATTATAAACATTTAAGAGGGAGAAAAAAAAGGAAGATTTACATACATACCACTCAATTTTTATTTATTTACATATCTAACATGAAAGCTTTAATTTTTAATACATAACATCTTACGAAAATGTGTATTTTAACTTTTAAAAGTTAAAATGGTGGTATTTCTATGTGATATGAATGATTTGGGTGGTATAAATGTTATAAAGTAAAGTTTAGGTGTAAGATATGTAAATACATAGTAAGTCTGAATAGCTGACTCCAGTTAGCATAAGAAAAGTACCATTATCAGAAGTCTGAATAGTTGACTCCAGTTAGCATAAGAAAAGTACCATTATCAGCATTTCCTCATCATCATTAACCTAATCTCAACCATTTATATCTTGCTTTATAAACTCTCAGTTATATTAAATTGCATGAAATGCTAAACAATTAAGCAGAAAAACTCGAGGGACGACATCATCAGTGTTAGTTTCATCTGCCACTTAGCATTCAAATCATTGATTTTAGTTTTTATCAATTCATCTTTCCATAACGATCTTTTAAAGTCTCCAACTAGACTAAGTTGTTCCTTATGCAACCTAAATCCGAAAATTAAACTATTTTACATATTTTCAATCTAGCTACACTTGTTTATACTCACATTAATGTCATGCTCAATTTAATAGAGAGAAAAGAGAAATGAGATCCATCTACAAAAGAAGATAAAATCTCTAATTTGGTATTCAAAAACCAAATTCACCAAGGTATAAAATCTTTTTAACTCACATTTTCCTTGGGGGCATGGCTAGCACTTGAACCAAAGACCAGCTTCCCTGAGGTTTGGCGTGAAGCAGAATTCTGTGCGGCGGCCGTCATCGAACCCATCAAGCCATTTCCTTGCTCCGACTGGCCATACTTCGAGAGGTTAGGCATACCTGGAGCATGAGTTGAAGGCTTTCCATCCAGCCGCCTTGCTGAACCACTAAAAGGATTGAACTTCGGTTCATTCAGCAATTGGTTCGGCTTGACCATCTGGAACTGAAATTTTCAAAACAGAAGGCAGGTTAAATGCAATGCTATGGAAAACGTTTAGGTAATTTAATATAGGCACAAAAAAAAGCAGTTCACTTTTGTGAATTCAATTTCTTATTTTGCTCAGTGCTAAATCGATACCAGTATCCTCTATCAAATAAGAGTATTTATCATATATATATATATATATATATATATATATA